TAAGGTTACTGCTTGTTTTGGTCTATAAACTCTAAAATTAGAAAACTGAATACGCCTAACTTGCCAAAAGTTGGGTTTATTCAGCCCCTTTTACTACAAATTGGGCTCATATATCCCCTTTTTGAAGAATTGGGTTCATTCAAACCCATACTGGGAAAACGATGACCAAATATTAGGTCAAATTTGCTAAAAATTGGGCTCACCGAGTTCGTTTTTTCTAAAAACGGGTCATATTCTGCACGCTCCATGGAAAAAAGAAAGAAAAATGGGGATCAGCTTTGACCCATACCTCTGCACCACATCTGCTCTAGCAATCCTTAAGGTTACTGCTTGTTTTGGTCTATAAACTCTAAAATTAGAAAACTGAATACGCCTAACTTGCCAAAAGTTGGGTTTATTCAGCCCCTTTTACTACAAATTGGGCTCATATATCCCCTTTTTGAAGAATTGGGTTCATTCAAACCCATACTGGGAAAACGATAACCAAATATTAGGTCAAATTTGCTAAAAATTGGGCTCACCGAGTTCGTTTTTTCTAAAAACGGGTCATATTCTGCACGCTCCATGGAAAAAGAAAGAAAAATGGGGATCAGCTTTGACCCGGGCGAATTTGTTCGAACCATGAGGCAAACAAGGTCAAATCATAAGTCGAACAAGGTCAAATATTGAGTGGCAGAGGGTCGAACCATGAGTCAAGCAAGGTCGATCTGCTAGTCGGACGAGGTGGAATCATGTGTTCTACAAGATCGACTCATTGGCCGGGCGATATCAAAACATGAGTCGCACAGGTTTAACACATGAGCCAAAATTTGGGTGAAACTCAATTTTTGTCGGAACAATGAAGATCACTATAGTAAAACAGATGCAAATAGAAAAAGTAGGATAGCCGGTCGCTATTCAAGTTGCACAGGTTGTTTCGGCCATTTAAAAAAAAAGAGCTACAAGTTTTTTTTCTCAAATAGTGTTGCTTTTTTGTGATGTAAAAAAGAATCTGACAAAAGCTTTGAACTTCGACAGAAGAAAAAATCGTTTAATTGCGGAACAATTTTTGCAACAACAACAAAAAAGAACTCCTTGCAACTCTGTGAATCAACATCTACGACTAACTGCACCTTCATTTTTCAGGCAGTTACAATTGGCACAGATTTATGATGGACGGGCAGGTTGCCAGACAGCTCTAAAGATTTACATAGACTTTATATAAATTTAGTTACGTGCCCCTGTGTCACACAGTCGTCCATAAAAAATTTAAATCGAAAGTTGAATTTTATGAAGAAACTCAAAATGATGTAGAATAGGTACTTTGGTAAATACGTGAGTTTGTTCATAGCTGTTTGGGAGCGACCATCTTTATTCCTTTTTAATGTCTGGCATGAATTTTTCTTTTTTAGTCTAGTTTTTTTATACCTGCTTGTGTCTTTGGGATCTGTTATCTCTGTTTTTTTATACATGTTATACGTTGAATTAGGTTCCTTCTGCTTCAGTTCAGAAAAAAAATTCATTGAATTAGGTTCTTTCTGCTGTAGTTCAGAAGAAAGAATTCAGTGCATTATATAGATGTCCAACTCAGCTAGCTCATGTTCATCCAAAACTCTCGGCTCGTCTATTCTTGGGAGCCACAGAAATATCACTTCTCTTCTCCCACTCCTCTATCTTGAAGTCATTTTTTCCTCGTCCCGACCGCTTGCTTTGTCTAACTCCGCAATTTCTGATCAAGGCAGTTTTCCATTGTCATTTTTGCAATGATGGGTGATTCTAAAATTTCACTCCACTAACTTGTCTTTCGTAGTGTGCCTTGAATGGCATGATGTTTTCTTTACTATTTGGTGCAAATCTAAGAGCACTGAGAGCTCTTAGTATCATGTTTCGCAATTTTTGATCTTTGTTTTGCTCCAAGTAGAGTTTTTCTTTAAGATTTGTAATTGATTCTATGGTTATCTCAAACCTTCCTGTTGACACGTGATTTTTGACCGGTGTTTTTTATTAGTTCAATGCCTTCAATATTATCCATATTTTACCGAAACTATTCAAAAAAAAACTCAGAAGTCTGGCCCTAAGCAACTTCATCGGTTGTTCGTGCGTCGCGATTCAATTCTGTAGGAATTATATATTTTTAATAAATACTTGAGCATACATAAGCTGACGGCCAATGCATGAACGCGTCCACCGCTACTAACGCATACTTTTTCAAACTTTTCACCTTTTTGTGCGTCTCCATAAACCTAGACGTGCAGTTTCATTCGGTTTCATAAGTTTTTTATTCCTCCTAGGTTTCCTTTACGGATATCCAGCTTGAATTTTTTACCTGCTGCCGGGCGTTGTTTGAAGTCTTTTGCGGTTGCTGCCAAATTTCAGTGCATAATTGGGAATCATTTGTTTTTAGAAGCCACGTACATCTTGTGTCTCCCGTGATGGTGGGATTGTAGCCGACCTTTTGGCTATCGCCAATCTACAATCCATCCTGAAGTGATTTTTCCGGGCCTTAAAATCTTTGTAGTTGTGCGCGTAGTATTGGCCCAAATTTTTGATTGATTATTTTACCTGTGTGTCTCGATCTCGGATGGAACCTATAGTATGAATGGGTTTTTCTAGATTTAATCCCAGCATTTTCAGGTTCAGTATTTTCGGAAGTTCAATCTTTTTAAATATTTTGCATTCTGTGCAAAGAGGGTGTTGATGAGGGTGTAAGACAACCCTGTGGTTTTGCTGGGGAATGATATAATTGTTTTCTGTTTCTTTGCAACAGCTGCTTTTGCAGCGGGTAACAACTTTCTCGCGGGAATAACGTTTTTGCGTGGAGTCAATTGAATTTCCCAATCAAAATTTTTTGACATTAGGCTAGGTGGTTATTTTGCCAAATTGTTTAGCTTAACGTATGAAATTTCGTTTCCCGTCTGAGCGGGTTACTCTCTAACATTGCTACGAGCCCATAACAGCTTGTATCGCATTCTTTTATCGTTTCACGATGAATGTCAAAGTGTTTAAGCTCCGTAACGTTGTTTGGTAGTTTTTTTTTCAAATTGTTCGATCGCATTCTTGGGTCCAGGCAGGGGGCGGATCTAGGATTTTTTCTAGATAAAAAAGCACTAAAAGGTCCCTGTTTTTGCCATATTTTCTGCGCCGCAGGCAAATTTTTGAAAAAACAGGTCAAAAAAAGCCGTTTTTAGGCACTTTTTGAAAAATGTAGACAAAAAAATCGCGTTTTTTTGGCGCGAGCTCCCCCTCAAAATGAATATATATTGGCGCCAAAGGCGCCTTTAGAAAAATTTTAGGGTCGGTCGGCAAAGAATGGATTTCTTAAAAAGTACCAAAGGGGGGACCCTTTGGGTCGGCAGGGGGTCGAATCCCTGAAGGGGAAGGGAAAACGTCCGGCCCCCGCCCCCTCCCCCCTAAATCCGCCCCTGGGTCCAGGTCAGGTCAATATTTTAGTAGGGTTTAGTAGCGGCCGTTACCTGTAATTTTTGCAAGTTAAGCAACGACCTTATTGGCGAGTTCAATTGCTTTCGAGTTTCAGGAGCTATCAGTTTGTCTATCACCTTTGCAGGGGCGGATCTAGGATTTTCTCGAGGGTAGGGAGCCTTTAGAAAAATTTTAGGGTCAGTCAGTACAAAGGGGGGACTCTTTTGGTTGGCAGGGGGTCGAATCCCTGAGAAGGGGGCAGCTGGTGCACCTTTGTCACTTTTGTTTTACGGTTGGGTAATTCCCGGGCAGCTAACTTCGAAAAACAACCATTCGCATTGTGACTTTGCAAAAAATACATCTAGAAGGAAACCACCAATTTCAAATACCAGCAAACCAATTGTTGTACTGTCTTTCATAATTACCAACTGCGCATTTTGAACAAAATTTTTGCCAAAAAATTAAGAACTCGGTATAAGTTAGTGGCTTTTCTTTTACATATCGTAACTCAGTCGCACAGTTTTCCATCTTCACTGTATCAACCATCGTCTAATCCGATAAAAGTACAAGATTTGTTAGACACCGATTGTCACGCCTACTTCGCGTCCATTGCCATCCATTGCTTACAGAATCTGAGACAAATTAACGGTGATTTGCTTCATCAATGCGATTGAGTCGGGCGATCCAGAGGCACGTGAACTCACAAATCAGTCTAGCTTATGCTTGTAATGCTAAAAAAAATTTGAGCAGGAATTTGATCAGCTTTAAGTAGTCATCCGTGCACATCTGGATAAACTTAACAATAAAAAGACTGCTAAGCTCGGAATACCGAGAGCATTATTGTTTTGCGTCCTTCATATCTAGCATAATTGAAGTATTGTAATCCTTGCCGTAATCGCCGACCTTGAAAAGTCACCGCGAAGCAGCCTTTTAATTTAAAATATGTACTGATTCGCAGCATACCGTCGAGGGCAACCTTCACACTCCTTCGTTAATGTATTTGAAAAGTTTTCTTGAGTTCAAATTGGAGCCGCAGTGCCATTCTTCGTGGCAAATTAAACCCGAGGTTATTACTCCGTCGCGATCAAAAGTCGCTTTTGAATTTTTTATTTCAAGCTTTCGGATAAACTCATAATAGAAGACTTCCAGTGACGGGGTCCGCTGTCCGCGACTCATTTTGCGACCAAAGTGGGTCGCCGGAATGGATTTTCTCTGACCGAAATTGCGTACTCTCGCAAAAGGCTTGAGTCGTGCAAAGTCGCAACATGATTAGCGCAATGTCTCAACATGGGTCGCGCAATGTCGCAACATAGCTAAAAAAGTGTCGCGTAAACTCGTGAAATGAGTCGCGCAAAATCGCAACATGGGTCGCACAAAGCCGAAACATGAGTCGCTCAAAGTTGCAACATATTAAGTCGCGCAAATTATTTCGGTCGCACAAAGTCACAACAAACCCATTTTCATTCCTAATGGCCCTAACATAACTTTTTTGGATTACGCAAAGTGGCAAGTTATTTGTTTTGGGTCGCGCAAAGTCGCAAAATGTTTTCTTTTTTGTGTGTCGCGCAAAGTTGTACAATAATTCTTCGGTCGCGCAACATTGCAACACAAACATTTTGAGTAGCAATTGTTGCAACATACGTAATTTGGGTCGCGATGCTCGCAACATACCGATTTTTGGTCGCAATGGTCACATTGTACCTTTTGTTGGGTCGCTATGGTCGCAACATACCTATTAGTGGTCGCAATGGTCGCATTATAACTTTTCTTGGGTCGCGCAAAGTCGCAACATATCTTTTTTGGGTCGTGCAAAGTCGCACAAAAACTCCCTGTCACGCAAAGTTGCAACATACCCATGTTGAGTCGCAATGGTTGCAACATTAGTCCCGGCCTCAATCCGGGTTAGAACTATCTCATAACTGACTGAAGAATTGAAACGGTTATAAGCCATGTAAGCTTAACGACTGTTAAGCCATAACGGTTAAGAAGTTTAGTCATGTAAGCTGAGACGGTTAAGCCACACGAGCTGAAAACGTTTCTGATGGTTTTTCGCTCGATTCATATTGGGAATTTTCGAAGTTCTGGAGAATTAAGTGCGGACCTCGGCTCGGGTTTTTACATAACAACTCGTTTGTTTTGTGCTGGCTTATTTTGTAGCACGTTGATATAGTTCATCTGGTTAAAACACTCCCTGAATTAAAAAACTTACATAGATGAAATTGAGCAGTTTTGAGCTGTCGTCTGAGACGTCAGTAATCAGATTGAAATAGTCGATGGGGGAGACGCCCAAAACCTTGTCCATTGATTCTGAATACGGACTTTTGGAAACCACAGCACACTAAAAAAAGGTATGTTGTCGATCTGCTTTAGGTTTTTTTTAAATATTGAACACTTCTAACTGCATGAACAACTCCTTATCTCTCTAAAAGTTTGGAATGTCATCAAATGATTGCTCCTTTCATTGTCTTTTTTTTCGTTTGAAAACCCCTTCCAATTTGATTTTAACATTATTATGAATTTCATGTGATTTAGTATGAAAGCCACCAATCTCAACTGAACAAATAAAGAAACTGTGAAACTGTTCCTTCTCAAAAATTTTTTTGTATCGTCAAGAAAATGTTTTTTTTTCTTGTAAACTTTGGTTTGTGAAGAGGCGTTTTGTCGTCTGTCTTAGATAAAATTATATATGTAAGTTACAGAGGCAAAAATTGAGTAGCTATGTGTACAGTTGATCTTACATCTATTTGAGGATGAGCGTGTTCGTGTTTTGAGGGGGAACCAGTTGTACCTTCGAACGAGGGTCTGACGAGGGCCTCGAAGGCACGTCTGTCTCCGCTGCTCGACGGTCTGTCACTCTGAGAAGCCAAAAACTGGTACTTGTACAAACAGGCGTACTTGCTGAAATATCCATGAATAAATATCGAGATAATAATCGAGGGTAGCCGGTTAATGTGCGAGTAGCACAGAATGTTCCCGACCATAGTCTTAAAAATACAAAAAAAAACAGTTTTTGTTGCGACCATTGAAAGTGGAGAGGAATTTTGTATTCGGGTATGTTCCCGCACCTAAGAAAATCAATTACAATGGATTTTTGTGGTCTAAGAAAATATCAATGTAACCGATTCCTATGTTGCATTCAGACAACAAATTGGAAAAGAAAATCGATTATAATCCATTATTTTGTTCAATTTAAAAATTAATCAAAATCCATCAAAATCAAGTGAAATGGATTTTCACTTTATTTTTGTTCCGCGTCGTTCAAAATTTTGCACGAATTTCTGCATTTACAAAATGAATAATGCGGAAAGTTTGCCAAGCTAGTGTATGATCTACTCGACTTATAAAACCTTAACTTTCTCAAAATAACAAAACGATTCCGTTAGCTTCTCCCCCAAACGTTTGCCCCTTGTGCACCCCTCACACCTCAACACCCCCCCCCCCAAACCTGACCAACCTGAACCACCCCCACGTGAATAACCCCCTCCACACCTGAACCAACCCACGCCCACTGAGCCCCCTGAACCAACCTGAACCAACCCCCTGAACCAATTGCCTTCGCCATCCGGGTTGATTCTGAGATGAGGGGGGAGGGGGGGTTGGTTCAGGTGGGGGGATTGGTTCAGGTGGGGGGGGGGGGTAGTTTGGGGCAATTTTTCGGGTCAGGAGTGGTTGATTTCAGTTTTTTTTGGTAATTTTTCTAAAAGACTGTCAAAAAGGCCATTTTAAGAAAATTTAATCCACAAAAAGCAATCACTTGCAAAACAGTCCATTTTCAGTTCTACAATTCTACGGAAACAAAGTTGAGAAATTGATTAACATAAAAACAGTATCAAAAATCTAAGTTGTGCAAAAAAATAATTGATTTGCAATGGATTTCAACGCTTACTGAATAATGTCAAAGTGATCCATTTTGAATTGATTATATTCGATTTTTTCTTAGAAAAATTACGCAAAATCAAGTACCACAAATAGCTATCGGAATGGGTTGAGTGATAAACCATATTAAAGACCTTTCAGCCGTTGATTCGAACCATCCCATAGTTTTCCTTAAATACTTTTTGGATAACAAATCTTGCAAGGTTATTTGCAACAAAAACTCAA